AAGAGTAAGCTGTTTACTCTGTGTCAATAGTTATTTACATAAAAGTCAGGGAAATGACACATTACTGACGAGGACTTTGGGGCCGAGTACTTTAACTTCCGAGTCAAGTAATGTCATTTTACTGAAGAGTTTTGTATTAAATTTTACCTAAAATCGTTTTTTAATATAAAATTTCATTAATGTCAATCTGTCAGTATAAGCATTTAGCAATGTGACAGGTATGGCCGGTAAAGTGACAGGCGGCATGGAAAGTTGTCGGGTCTGGCCCTGTCATGAAAACTTTAGTTTCCTGACTAAAGTAGGCTTGCAAATGAAGGTTTCATGTGAGAAGATGACGAAGGCTCACTTTTATTCCAATCACCAAGATAGAACTTGAAGGTACCACGAGGGGGGCATCAGATAGAGGATATTTGGTGTACATGCATATTAGAATATCTGAAGATACCCAAGGATATCTGAGAAAACTCCGTAAAATTAACCACGTGATTTCTGCAACCAATAAACGCGCATGCTCAGACTCGACGCGAAGGGTTTTTATTCGTGCATTTTATAGTATTGTGCAAGGGTGTTACGTTCAGAAGGTTAAGTCTTGTAGTTTTATGTACAATATACTACATTTCTCTCAGTAGAGGTTTATAGTTGACATCACATCACGTAAATAGTTAACAAAAATTATTTAATTAATCAGAAACAGTTTTTAGATATGAACTTCTTTCTGAAATATTTTTTATATTATATGTACTCGAGAGCTACATTGAACCCACCCTCAATATGCACTTGTACCATTTTGCAGTTTTGAAAGTTATGTACGAGCGTTGAATGAAAAATAAAGGTTTCATTCAACGGTACGAGGTTATGTGTACCTACTCGTACGTCGAGTAATTATGGGTCTTTTTTAACTTTTTCTGAAATGCAAATTTATACAAAAATTCTTAATGAAGCTGGACGCGCAATAGGAGATGTGACAGGTACCCGATATCCTCAACTTTTTTAGAAATGTGAACTCAGTTCAGCCACGATCTAAAGCTGGAAACACACGATCGAACAGCACGACAAACATGTTCGATCGTGTGTTCGCTACTTTAAGCATCGTATAATGTTCTATTGGCAAGGATACCTGGCTCTCATCCAGGAGGCTCAGGTTCGCTTCCCGGTATTGGAAGTTATGTTTTGCACAAAAATGCATATACTACGATAACTTAGTAGAGTTGAACACGGGGTGATTTGTAAGTTTAAGATTGTCTTAAAATTTTTTTAAAAGCAAACTTATACAAAAACGAATTTGTAACATGAGAGTACGTATGATGTGCGCATGAGCAACGCCACCGTAGTTACTCTCTGTAGTCGTGCATTTTTGTCTATATTCCGTACCTGATTTAAGGTACCGGTTTGAACAAGATTAGGGACGTCTAATTGTTTCCTTTTCATTACCCGTTTTTAGATCGATCTGTTTCATGACGCAGAAAACACGTTGGCAACTGTGTTGGTTTCAAAAGGATGGAAGTCGTGCACATCTTAATCGTGTGAGACTACCTATCAGGCGTATTTCCTGGAAAATGGTAAATTTTTCCGATAGGTATTCTCGCACGATTAGAGTGTTGTGCGCGGGTACACCAACCTGTTGAAACCAACAGTTTCCAACTTTTGTTTTTTTTTGTGCCATACATCGTATAATTCGTAATAAAAAGTACCACTCAATACAGTGTGTACTTTTTTTTACGGGCCGTATAAAAATACAGTTGATGTAGATGGTTTTTCTCCAAAACGAAAGGTTGTATTGAAAATCTCTCAATGGTATCTTGTAGTTGTAGAGCTAAAAAAGTGGCATAGAAAGTTATTCTTTTGTATTCTGCAAATAACATAAGAAAAAAATAAAAACGAAATCTGCAAATTTGGGTTCTTCTGACATTTCTGCTTCCACGTAATTCGGCGGGGAAAAATCGCGAAAAAAATTCAAGTAAAAATGCTCTCGTTACAAGATCAAGAACGAATAATTCTCGATCGTTTTTCGCATGAGTTAGCTTTTTGTTTCTAATTACACGCGGAGTCTGCAGAATTCAATCTGGCTCATTTTGGAAAAAAAACAACACTTTTAGAATGTGTAGACCGAGGTGACACATATGTACAGTATGTCCCCGGATGGACTGAACAAGCGGGAAAACATTTTTAATTTTAACTACGCAAAAATGTCATCCTTTATAAAAATTTTTGCTAGCCTCAAAACCACCTATTCTTAAATAAAAATCTAGATAATCCTTTTAGCAGCTGAGAAAATTACAAAAAAACGCAAAATCTACATCTAAATCTATATCTACTTAATCAATACACCATACACCTCTTAAATAAAAATGAGTCTTGATAAGCTTCTGTTTTTATTATAATTTATTTGTCCCGTTAATAGTTATTTACTTACATATGAGTATGGTAAATCAAGGTTTACGTTAACGAGTGAGATGTTTACTGCCGAAGCGTAGCTGAGGCAGGAATTTCGAAACGAGTAACGTAAACTGATTTGACATACAAATAATGTAAAAATGTAAAATTTCATACTGCTCTATTTCTATTAAAATACCATTTTGATTAGAATGTTGTAGGTACACATTGAAATAAAAGCAAAAGTCGATCACTTGATTTGTTTGATCTGACAGTAGTTTGACAAATATCAATGCATACGTTTAGATGGCTGTCAGTTGCGGTTGCTAGGCAAAATTACCAGACTCTAATCAGTCTGGGAAAGCGGCGATTACTAGATAGTATGAAATAAAAATATTATTTTTCACTCGTAATGCCATAATTAATGTTATTTAGTAATCAAACTGGGTTGAGTGGAAGACCAAGCTGCTACTTGTAGTTGCTTGAACTCACTCCATTTGGGAACATCAAGTGAGGCAGTTCTTAAGTACTCTGTTCTCTTCGAACATCATGTATGATTTTATTTTTGTTTATTTTTATCTTGAACATTGAACATTATATTAAGTTGTTTTCAATAAATGCATTATTATTATTATTATTATCTACAGCGGAAATTTTTCTACGTTGCATGTTTTTGGTTCAATCAGACTATCATTGTATCTTCCATGGCAACCTGATAAGCAATTCAAGTTAAAAAAGACACCTTAGAGCTTAAGAGAAACATTTTATTTTATTCAATGTGGTATCCTCCAACCTCTTGTTCAGTCCATCCGGGGACACACTGTATACTGATTTGAGACTTAGGACAAGATGGTTCTGGCCCTGGCGGTTCTCATTTTACAGCCTCATGGTTTGCGATCTGGCGCGAAATAAATATAATCATTGTATTTATAAACGATATAATTCTGATTGAAACATACATTACAGGTAGGCCATTTACGTAAATGCTTAATTGTCTTGTAAGGATTAATCTGTTCTATTGTTTAAATCAATATAATATAAACAAATCGTTTATAGTTTAATGTAAATTCCATACGTTTTGTGATCAAATTTAAATGTGAAATTAAGCTTGAAGCAGTAAGGAAACAAACTACTACATTAAATCTCGTAATTTACCGCCAAGGGAAAGAATTTCAAGGACATTAAATGGCAAGATTATGGCAATCTTTCAAAATCTGAAAATGTTGCAATAGCGCGCTGTGAAAATTTCACACACTGCTCTTATGCTATTCACTTTGAAACACTCAATGAAAAAACCCATTAAACTCAGTTGCATGATTTAATTAAAATTCGCAAGGAATTTAAGGAATAATCACAATTTAGTTGTTTTTTGCGAGCTTCTCAAAGTTATGTATTTAATTTATTTTCAGAGAAAAAGAGGAATGTCTTTGTATTGTAAAGCACTTCGATAAATGCGAATTAAAATTTAATTGGCATCATTCAATTTAATAGGATATGTTTACAAGGAATTGTATTGTAATTAGCTAAATAAAGGCCGGCAAGTGGAAATGGTACAGCTGATACTGGATTGCATAGATGCCAGAAATTTAGCGAGGGTAAATTTTTACAAATTGTGTCATTGGAAAAATATATTTAAATTTTCCATAATGATCAATATTTTTTGACACCCTTGCCTCTTTGGCAAAGTAGCTTAATTTCCAACAATTCGATTTAAACCCGGTTGTACACCGTCAGTTGAGATTAACTGACAGATTTCAGAAACACGATTGGCCATCTTGCAAAATATTAGCCAATGAAATCCTTTAACCAACATTTTAACTATAAACTGAAATGTAAACTGACATTATACAACTGGGCCTTAGGGAGTATTCTTTTATGGCAGCACTTTTTAATTTTACTTATTTGTACTAAGACATCTATTTGTTTCATTTTTATTGTTCCATTTGCATCCTATGGATCCGTGTTTACCACCCGCACGTTATTGAGGTATTGCATTGGGGTAAACAATGATCCCCACTTTTTTACGGAAATACACGTTTTGAAGCACCAGGAATCCTAATCAAACATCGATGATGTCGGTCTGTCTGTACTTTGGTACACATATTCTTAAACATAAAAGGGCGGAATCGCGCATGCGCAGGTGTGCGAGTGGTGTCTGCTAACCACAGCATATTTTTAAGATACATATATTATAGCATTGTTTAAATGAAAGTATTTAAACAATAATTGAATTTTTTTATTCAATTCTGTGAAAAATTAGTCTTGTTTGATATTTTTTCCAACAAATTCTTTGCGCCCGTTTTCTTCTTACGTCTATTATGGTACCTACTACTGAATATTTATATTACTTGAGTGAGATGTGGTTTCCACATTTTATTCAAATTCTTATTACGCTCCTGTGGTTGGTCTAACTCAATTGTGTTTAATCTGTATTGATTAAATTGCGATGTAAAACAATTTCATTATTACAATACAAGGTTACAGCTACTTAAAGCCATAGTAGGTAGAAAATCAAAATTGAAAACTATTCAGTAAAAGTAGTCATAAAATAAAGTGCGAAAAGTCGAACTTTATTTTTATTGTTTTAATTAATTGAAACACACACTTATTTTCGTATTTATTTACAGTTTCAAGATCAAGCTCACATGGCGGCGGTACCAATAATCTACCACCCTTATTATTCCACAACGTCCACGGTGACAATATCCGCATCTCACGCGATGGAACGGTTGCAAGGCGCGTTGAAAGTTTCTGCAAAGGGATCGCCTTTAGTTCGCGTCCGGTTAAAGTGAATGAGAAAGTAAGTGTATGAGTTATTAGCCTCTTATATGTCTGACATTTTAATGTCTTAGGTGTGCATAAAGTTCTTGGAGATCTCCAATAACTGGAGTGGAGTGATACGCTTTGGATTCACCTACAACGATCCAAGTACTCTTAGATATGGTCTTCCGAAGTATGCTTGCCCTGATCTCACGAACAAGTCTGGCTATTGGGCAAAAGCGCTTGCCGAGCGATTTTGCAGCCAAAATACTCTTCTGTTTTATTACGTGACGTCGGCGGGCGATGTTCATTTTGGTATTAACGGCGAGGAGAAGGGAATCTTCTTTGGAGGTGTAGAAACTAGAGGCCCACTTTGGGCGCTTATCGATGTGTATGGCAACTCGACCGCTGTAGAATTTGTCGACATTCGACATCAATTAAACAACAATCGTCGTAATCTTGTGCTCAACAGTTGTGACACAACACCTGAAGAAATAGATCGCATTGTGTACCCCATGCAGGGGTTGAATATACAACGCGACGAAGAAATGAATGTACCACCCCTAAGATATCAACCACCTTCACTAAACTTTGCACCTGTTTCTCTTCATCGCACTAGAGGACGCAATGTGAGATTTAATAGCAATCGTAATATCGCTGCTAGAATTGATACGGAATTCTGCCAAGGGTACGTTTTTACGCCGAGGCCATTGCAGCTAGGAGAACGAATTGTCATACAAGTCATATCGACAGAACCGATGTTTGAAGGCTACCTAGGTCTCGGATTGACTTCATGCGACCCGGCCAATCTCCAAACATCCGATTTACCAGACGATTCCAACTTTCTACTCGATCGACCAGAATACTGGGTGATTAGCAAGGATTTTGCTCGCCATTTAAATCGTGGTGATGAAATCAGCTTCTGCATAGCACCAAATGGTGAAGTACAAATTAGTAAGAACGGTGGAAACTCTTCAGTAGTCATACATGTTGATCAAACTTTGCGTTTGTGGGCGTTCTTTGATATTTACGGATCGACACAACGTATACGTGTCCTCAGCTGCCCACCCTCTCCTGTCCGTAACCCAGAGCGACGCATAGTCCAATCTGATTCTGTCAATGGCATTGCAGTTTTGTCTGTTATTTTGCCTTCGAATCATACAAACGTTGTGAGTCCTCAAGCAGTTTCTGGAAATGCTCACCACTCATCGCAGAATTCCGTTCATAGTCAAAATAACAATAACAACCACGCTAGTCATTGCTTAGTTGCACCCGTACCACAATCATCCTCTCAACAACACGCACCTATACCCACAGGAACCATGTTATCCGGCTACAGCAGCACTTACATTGAGGTAAATATACATTCTTATAATTAAAAAGCGGATTTCTATGCACTCAAATGTGCATCAATTTACTTTTCATTTGATTAAAATAGTAACTACCTAACTAACAATAATCAAAATTTGTTTGTCCATTTTGAAATTTACCTTAGGTCTGAACTCAATCTTAAATCATTGAAGCCCAATAGAACATTTTTGAATTTTGTAAATATTTACACTGTCATGAAGTAGCCAATAGAATTCCACCAATAGATTTTAATTCTGCTCAGAGAATTTAAAACATGAAATTCCTACATTTATTAGATCTTTTCAAACGTGATACCAGCATTTATTTTATCACACAATCAACCTTTCTTAACTAAAATAAAAATGCCAAAATAATGATTTAATAAATACTTCAAACCACCTTCAACTCAATATATGAAGATTACAATCTATTGCTAATTTCCAAACAGCAATATTTATTCATTTTATATTACTATGCCTTAAAACTTAACATTTCTAATATATACACACATTAATGCAATTGTTCAAAATATACCCTTAACGAACTTGTATATTAAGCTCATCAGCCGAAAAAAGGTCCAAAATTTAACTGCGAACAACATGCATTTGCACAAAAATCCTGTCTCTACTTATAATTAAAGGCGATATTTATTGTTACAGCCGATCTCTGCAAATAGTGTCTACTCCACATTACAAGCTCGGGGAGATCACGAACGTTTGGGGATCGGTGGTGCCGGTACAGAGTGTACAATTTGCTACGAACATCCTATAGATTCAGTACTATACATGTGCGGTCACATGTGCATGTGTTATGAATGTGCTTTACAACAATGGAGAGGGAAGGGTGGAGGACATTGCCCATTGTGTAGAGCAATAATAAGAGACGTTATACGCACATATAAATCATGAGTTCGATAGAATAATGCCTAAATATTTCTTTGCTGGGATATTATTGTGCATTTTCATGAATATGTTTTGTTAATGGGATGAATGTCGTATTTTTGAAATGTATGTTTCCAAGTTGTGAATTATTTCACTCGTTAATGTCTCTCAATTTTGATTTTAAAAAAATGGAAAAACTAAAACCCACTATAACTGAAGTTATTAAGAAGTGCTTCCACTTTACAATTACTGCCTACAAAGAGATAGTTTAGAATGCGTTACAATAGTTAAAGACTGATACGGTTTGTTTGTTGTAACTTCTGTAACGACTCGTATGTTAATTACTTGTATAAGTTTATCATTGATCGAAGTTTACATTTACCAAAGAAACCACTAAAGTGTATTTTAAGGGGAGCCACCCCACTATGGTGAATAAAGTTAGTCAACAGTACGGAAATAGTCAACTGCGATAGCAGTTTAAACAATTATTTATTTAATTTATCATAAATTTGTCATCACTTAAATGACAAGAATGGGCATTCGATGAGTAGGCTAGGCCATGTTAACATTCCTTAAATCTGTTACAATGCCAGTGTTTTTTTGTTTAATTTTTAGGATTGGTCATTCATAATACTACTTGGCCCCCCATTGTAATTGCTCATTTATTTTGTGCTCAATATTCTTTTACACTTTTGAGTAGGAGCGTTACAAGGTGGGAGCTTGAAAGAATTATAGTTTCTAGTCAATAAGAATGTACTGATACTAGAATCGTATTTAGTTTGCTACAAATTCTTGATGTAAATAAAATAAAGATGTTATATATTGTCTCATAAAGTTTTTATTTATTGTTTTTTACACAGTGTTTAGAATAGGACAAGCTTTAATTTTGTTGTTGCATAGGGGAAATGCAGAATCCGGAATGTGGGTACTATTAATTGTACTATCCTCTGTACCTACAGTGGTATTAGTCATGCCACAAATATACACATAGAGCGTGTGATTATGGTATGTACTCATTTGGAATCTTGAAGTATGGAAAAGGAGTTTTAGCTCGGGAATGATAAGACCCAGTCAACCAGAAGAAAAACCTGCAGACAACAGTAGTTTTACAATGTAACAGAAAATTCTCTGCAAAAGGATTTTATCACTTTCTTACATAAACCGAGCAGAACCATAATGCTACAGTATTTAGACGAAAAAATTTCTTCTTCCGCATGTGTAAGAAAATGATTTAAATCCACAAAAAATGATTCAATTGAAAATTGAGATGCCACAATGCAGTAGAGAACAAGTCAATCATAGCCTTTTTTAGAAAATGGTTCTTTTCCTGGGAGTTTGAATATGGTCTGGCTGAGAGAGTATTGTACGGTACCTACTTGGCAAGGCAAATTGCACTGTCTTTAATTTTCAATGCCATTGATACGCTTACGGAAGCCAGCCCACTAAGAAATTAAAAGTAAAATGTTTGCTACCCATCTGATGTAAAATTGGGATCAGATGTGGCCTTCTATCAGTTTCCTGTCCAAGACCTATTGTACCCTCTCGCTCCCTTACAACGTCAATATTTTTGAAGAAATTTAGCAGTTCTGGGCGCATCTTCATTCCCCTGGCATTGACCTGCTGACCAAAGATTCAGTATTCTTCATGTAATTCTTTCGGAATGGCTTTTATTTCATTTTCAACTGTTACATGTGCAATTCCACATACCTGTTGGAATATAACGTGGAAAGCTGTTAAGGTGTCATATTTTAAAAAAGCAAAAAGGAAACAAATTTTCCTGGCGTTATTGGCTAGATATTAACTTTACGAACTTATAGAAATTTTGGAAATTGTTCCAACTTTATTTAGAGATAAGTTATCTTGGAAAAACGACTTCAAAGTTTACCTCAACAGCGCGAAAAAATAGCAAGCGTCGCGCCGTTTGTTTTATACAGATAGTAATTTGGCAACTGACCACTGGCAACTTTACATACTCTGTTCCGTACGTACTGTCATAGAGTAAATAACGTGTTTATGGTACTGTCCAGCCTGACTATCTTTTATTATAAAGGTTTTCCTGTTCCATAATAGTTATTAAGGTATCAAGGGCGTTATGAACTAAATAACGCCCCAGGTCAACAGTGTAGAACCCGAGGGCCTCCGGCCCGAGGGTTATACGTTGACCGTGGGCGTTGTGTTCATAACGCCCGTGGTGCCTTCAACGTTTTATGTCATACCTACTTGATGATTTTCCAAGAATTAGCGGTGCCAGATGATTAAAAGAGATGATAATGAGACTCATCAAAATTAAGTTATCCATGGTCATAACCGAGGTCGTAACTATGGAGATAGATATTATATTTGTCAAAGTCAAACATTCTAAAAACTGCCTGAAAAATGGCAGACGAAGCGTCTCATTTACCGGCACACGTTCTTGCGCGAGCCGCAAAACCGAATGAAGCCATAGTGCCACAAAAATCGAAATCCTCTTATGAAAAAGCGTACGCTGTTTTTGCAAATGGATGGTGAGTAATTCTGTAGAGACAATAAACGAAACCGTTATATTGGTTTACTTCCAGGAGTCGGTATGTTTAAGTCTATGGTTTAAGTAATTTTATTAGTCATTAAACGGAAAGGTGATTTATGTCATACTTGATTATTATTCAGTTATAATAATCCTAAATCAAGATACATTAAATGACAAATAATGCACTCCACCATGACGACCCCAATTATGCGTAGCAACGGGCGTTATTTCTATAACGCCCAAGGGCGTTATTTCTGTACATCCTATAAATATGGAATAATGAACTTTTTATTTTCAACAACTAAATAAAACGAACTGTGTTGATGTCGCATTATCCTACTGTTATTTTGAAGTAAAAAGAACAATTCTGGGACTGTCCAGAGAAAACCGCACCAGACCCATGCATTTTCTTTCCTCTTTGTACATCAGATACTGCGGATCAGGTGCTTCTGTAAGGAAGGCGACTATCTGTTCGCAAGTAAGGATTTTTGATTTTTTTGGACGATAGCTTTCCTGAACTTGTTTTAAATATCCTTGTAGATGCACAAATTTTTCGAAACTCTTAATCTGCTTCTTTACCATTAACTCTTTACGTAGAGCATTGAAAATTTCGTCCAAAGCGAATTGGGAGAAAATGACTCTGAGTGTAAACACTTTAACAACATCGGGCGGAGGCATTAATAGGAAAAGTTCTGCTGAGAATAGGTACCGATTGTAGCGTTACTGCCAAGAGCAAGTGATATTCGGATGTCTCACTCCACTTCAGCACCTACTCCCTCGTTTTGGTAAGGAATTCGCGTCCACTGTCTGCAAACGTAGAAGGAATAATTTTTTTGACCTAGGTGTCATCTGCTGATTGATGTTTTTGCAACCAAGACGTTTTACTTTTCCGGGTGGCATTTGGTAACTATCATTGTATTTATAAACGGTATTACCAAACAGCAAACAATCATCTTCAATGTTAATGTTCGGACGAAATTAATAATAATAATAATAATAATAATGACCTTTATTCACATATTATATACAAAAGTAACAACACAAAAATGAAAAGTAAGGCATAACGATATACCAAATATATAATAGTGAAAGGGTGAAGTTCAGACTAATTGGTCTGCTCTTCCACTTTACCCCAATATACACTTCATTTTTTTTATGGCGAAATGAGTGATGTTTCTCTTAAATAAAACGGTAGATATACCTGCGTTTGTTAAAGAAATGTGAAAATGAAACTACATATAAAAATGTAGAAAAAACACAATAAAAGAAACTTAAAGAGTTAAAAGAACTGGTTAACATTGGATTTGACTTCTATAAAGTAAAAGTCGCGTTTGTGTTTTAAAAGGCTTCAAGGAAAGATTTTTGATAAAAGCTGACAACGAGTTGTATTGTTTTGCAATTTGATAAGAAAAAAACCCTTCGAAAAGATGATACCTATGAGCTGGAATAGTCATAAGTCCTTTGTTACGTAAATTGAGATCGTGTACGTCTGTACGGAAAGTAATTTTATTATAAAGACACTGTGGTTTATGAGTTAAAACGATTTGATGACACATATACAAAAAGTGAAGGGAACGGCGATTTAACCACTTTATTTCAGACATCTTATGGGAGACATGGTCAAATTTTCTCAAACAGAAAATGAACCGTAGACAAGAATTTTGCACTCGCTGTAGTCTTTTCCTGCTGGTTCCATCCAAGCAAGGTCCATATACACAATCTGCATAATTAAAATGAGATAGAACTAACACATTCATTAGTTTTACTTTGGTATCAAAGTTAAAGTTGTATCTGTGACTATACAAAGATTTTAGACTGCTGAAAGCGCGCTGAAGCATAGGTTTATATACCTTTTAAAACGAAGATCGCTATCCATGATTATAGTCCTAAGTTCTTGTGTTCCGTTTTTATTGGAATGACGTGATTGCCAACATTTAGACAAATCTGCTACTGAACATTGTTTCGGTGGTGAGCCTTTCCGAACACATGCGCTACAGATTTAGACGGATTAATAATCAGGGAGTATTTTGTGGATGTCTCAAATAAGTTATTTAAATCTCTGGTAAGTTTATCTAAAGCAAGATCTACGTCAGAAGGTGGAAATGAGAGATATAATTGTGTATCATCTGCACATGTGATGTTTGCATTTATTTATGCAATTTGGTAAGTTAGCATGTGTACATAGTGTAAAATAAAGGGCCGAGTATGGAGCCCTGTGGAACCCCCGAATAAATTTTCCTTTCTGACGACAGTGAGTCTTGAATTTTTACTCTTTGAGTTCTATATCTGTTAAAAAGCTAGTTGTCAAATGCCTTACATTACATCCCGATTGGAGTTAATTTCGTCCCATCTGTACGTGGACAAACCTCGAGAGTGAATGAATTAAACACGTCTATCTAAGACAAACGATTGGGGTAAACCGAATCCAGCATTTCTAGCAATACCTATTAACATCACTATAGTTAGATAGTTTTATTGCTGTTTTGAAATTGAATCAGTAGTTACTAGTCTACTAAATATTTATTAACTCAAAAGAGAGCTAAAAATCATTTTGATTATGTTCTCATGAATTTTGCGAACATTTCTAGACGTGTAATTCGATCATAATGTTGTTTATTTTTGAGTTTAACAGGGGGGACGAAAGGAGGCACGTTTATCTCACCTGCTTCAACTCACATGTCATTTGTGTTTCTTCCAAGGAAAATCACCTGATTTTTTAAAACTATTACGGATAAGCAACGCTTTTAAAAGTAATCAAAACCGTTAGCCATTAGTCTAGTAAAGTTTATACCCTATTTACCTAAGAACTGCAGTCCGAATTAAAAGTTTCGTTTTGCGAGGTTTTAACTTACATGGTCATCCAGCTAAGGAAACGCTAACATTCTATAGTTCTATCTATCGATATTCCGTCCCATTGTATATTGTTTTGTTTGTTAGCGTTTTATAAAAATAACAGAATAAAAATTCAATGGTTGAACATAAATTTAATACCTAAATACATCATATCCATGGTGACGCAACTACTATGTAAGTATGTACCTAATTCAAAAATTCGCAGTCGTTTTATTTCAGTGAGGTGTGGTGTGATATACCTAGATTATTTTTGTATAAATCTCAATTTAAAACGTTTTTGAATATTTTTAATTTTGTAAAATGTCCAAGAATTTGTTTACCTACTATTTATGTCATTCTCGTAATTTTCTCCAAGCCCGTAGGTATTCGTTTTTCGATTTAATTTTGTTGTAATTATTTTATTTATTTCGCAATGCTCGTTTTATGTGTCCATCAATTTATGCCCAATAGTATAGGTGCCCACATAAATTTTGTTTATCAATAATTAGGTACCAATAGCACGAACCATGCATAAATCCTTTTGAATATGTGTAGGTACCTATTGGTCACTCCGAAAATAATTTCTAATGAATGGAAGTAGGTATAGGTAATTGTCCACCTATAAGACAACGAAATGGTCGTCTGAACTTCGAAGTAGTTATATATTGCCATACTAAGATTGTATATATGTTTGAGTAACGTGATGTGTAAAAGTAATGCAATAAGTACCCACACAGATAATGTTCATTATAAATATATCGTCACAGGGGATCTGATGCTTACACTTTATGGACGTTTGCCAAATATTGAGAAACTATGTACATATTCTTAATATTTTTAACTTTAGTCATTTTTATTACATGGCGGATGCATGAATTGTTTATTTATGTAGTAGAGATTCCCGAAAGACCAGCGGGTGGAAATATAAAAGCAGAACATCTTCCAAATTGGCAATTAACGTTCAAGGTTTCCTTTTTGCAATAAATATTTATCCCTAAAGTCACAAATAATTTCTGTATCAATGACCTTAGTGAAAGCCGAACAGTATTAAAAACCCCACCGTCTACGCCTACTTAAAGTATAGTTACTAGGTTAACTAAGCCGTCTCGACGCCAGTATAACTCAGTGGTTTGGGGAAAGTGGCCTACACAATTAACACTAAGCACAAGGTACATTTCTATATTCAGTTTTCGCATTACACCCTTAAATAATGTCACGTGCTCTATAAAATTACTAACAATAATATCATCAGACAGCCACCATATATCCTTAAACTATAATTTAGCAAAATGTGCACAAGTGTAGCGATTTCTACATAAATTTTAGGAGTTATTTTTGTTAGCTATTTTAAGCAACATCTTCGTATCAAATGTTCTGGGTATATTTTCATCCATTTCAAATTTTGCAATATTTTTTTTTATTGTACGTTTTTACACATTAGGTACTACTGTGGAAAATAACGAAACATTTAGTACATCATGCGGCATAAGCTGTCGCCAAATTTGGGTTAGGTGCTCGATTTCAGTTTATATAAAGATAGGTAGACTAGACAGTATAAACTATTTGGAGGATTAAGAATTTAAAATTGTCTAAACCAATAAATGCTTTGGCGACCGACATTAATATTTTAACGACAGCTTACAGACATTAAAGTGACTAATTTACTGTCTAGTTTATAAATTACTGATTTGTGATCATTAATATAATTGAAAGTTAGATGATGGCTATGAAAAATGGTTTTTACCACTGAAGCCGTCGAAAAAAGTTGTAGTAGATACTAGAAAAGTGGAGTGTACTGATAACATACAGGATTCAACAATACTTATTGATTTTTTTTCATTGCCAAGTATGTGCACAAAGGTTTTCCTTAGGTTAATTTTAAAAAACCTAAACTATATGGAAGGGGAAGAAGTCAAAATAAACCTGCTTTAGCAATCTTTTTGTAGTGACTAAATTGATAATGGGTTTTGCACTTTAATTTACAATAAACAAAGTGTGAAAGAGCAAAGACTATTAGTCTTTGAGATTATGACATTCTCATCCTTGGTATTTATGAATAGTGTTCCCAAAATTAATTATCCCCTATAATTTCAATCTCTGTGTGATCCTTGGCTGGTGTATCATATTTAACGGTGAAGGAAACGGAAATTGCCAAAAGCGAGGAGGGTAAATAAATGAAAACACTTTTGAATTTAAATTATAAACAAAGGTTTGTTTATTAACATTCCGTGTGTGGGCAACACTCTCTAAAATTAGTGATTGTATCAGCTTTAAAAAGTTAATCTAACAGCCAACTCTGGCACGAAGGTTTGTTCAGATACATGTTACAAAAAATTCATTCAATTATAAATTGGCGGTGCTTCATTGTCCTTCAATTTACGTACTTACGGTGTGGGTGAAAAAAGTGTAGCAAGGCAGTGATCGAAGTAAATGACAAAGTAATCAGTTTCTCTACTATAATTGAATTTTTGTAAGGTTTCGTTATGGCGTTATAGGTTTTTACCGTTAAGTGTTTAAGTCCTAGAATATAGGTGTGAAAGAGGCCTGCACGTGAAGCCAATTACATACTTACATGGTAATTTCCCAAAGGGTTCGAACCTGAGTTTGAGAATGGAGAAAGAATTAAGACATAAAAGCAAATAAATAAGAAACTCCTCTGAACAATACAGCCTCATTGGAATAAAATCGCCTACCTACCAATTTTAGACCTTTTGACATCGACCTGCTGCTTCAAAATTTAAATCCCAAATGTACCATCATGATACAAATCTAAACAAGTTATAAATCAGCATATGCATGATGAATTTTTGGTAATACAGATCAGTAGGTATTTTATTAGTAGACTTGTTTAATAGTATATTATATACCAAGGGACTAAAGTGTTTGTTTTAATCCCGAGGGTGCAGATTGTAAAAACTTAATTGTCAATATCTTGAAAATGTTGGAGGAAGGTACCTACGCAACGCAACGCAACCGGTTTCAAAAAATGCGCTTTATTTATTTATTTATTCGCCAAAATCAGAATTCGAAACCTCGCTTTCTTCTCAAATGCAAAAGGTCGGACGGACACAAATACAACAAAACCAATAGCCGTACTATTTATTTGTGTTTATGAAAGAATTTAAGACCAGGAGCTTGAGGTCCATTCTTGGGAACTATTATGCCAGCGTGACAGATCATAACTATAATGATGATTGCTGAGGAAAGGATCACATTTTCTTTACTGGATGCTAATCCATATCCTCCATATCTACGCTTTTTTTTTAAACGCGCTTACTGTCCCTTACAGTAATCATCTGTACTGGGGAAGGGCCCATTGAACGTATAGGTTAGGTATGAGTACGGAATACTGGTCAGGAAAGGAAGATTCAATGTTCTTCCTCAAAATATTCCAAGAGTCGTCAGAGATTAACTTTTTGCGGGATAACTTTGGAAAGTGGAAATTGGGTATAGAACTTTTCCCAGTATACGATTTCATTTATATGAGTATACGGACGATTTCATGATGATAACGATGATTGTAGTGATAACACCATTTTCCTTTACTGGTGGAGGGGATTCCAAAGCTGTTCGTCTCCATCGACTCCCGAATACATGCTTTTACCCCAAACGATGTGTTGCCCTTATAATCATCTCGTATATTTCGGGCAGGAAATATTTATCGTAGCACCAGGGCCATGTGGTGTCATTCTTTAAGGTATCAGGAGAGTCTTCAATGTTTAACGTTTTACGAAAGATATTATTTAAAAAACTGTCAAACAGTCTTTGGATATGATTTTTGGTAAAATCACACGATTTAATTAGATACCTAATAATTTTGATCCAAAACCGTCCAATAAGGAAGTTATACAGGGTGGTGCCTAGCCTCGTGCCTAGCGCAACGCAGCATAGGGATTTCAATGTTTAATTTCTTTATAGTCAATATAGCTCCCCTAATTATTTTAGAGCAAAAGTCTAAATACGTTTTTTTTAGAGACAAAAATACTGCATCTGTTCATACTTATAATTTTCCATTTTTCAAAACCGTAGAAATCGACAAAATAAAAAATTGCATTTTTATAAATCAGTGATGCTTTGGAATCTTTTAACAAACTACAAGCGCATCGCATCTAAAAGCGCGGTTTAGACGCTACGATCTTGGCTTCGATAAATCGTAACGATCTGATTGTCCAATTTATCGTTCAATAAATCGAAAGAGTGCGTATACTGTTTACATGTAACGATTTCTTGTTCCAATCTCATTGTCGATCACGGTTTAATACAGTTTTTATTTTTTTACTTTTCAACTTGTCTTTTGGTTTTGTCCACTAATATAAATTATACTCGCATTTTATTGCTTACATTGCTTGCTTACAATAGAATCTTAATCTCGATTATGATTTATGAGTAGCCATGTGTCGCTAAATATTTTTTTTGGGTGGCCAAACTTGATCGCCACTCGCCAAATGTAAAACGTGTGCGCTAGAGACAGTCCAAGTAGCCCAAATGGATACAAAAATGGTTCACGTCGGCAACATTAAGCGCGGTTTAGACGCTACGATAAATTGTAACAATTTATCGTAACGATTCGATCGTTACGATTAATCGTTGCGTGTGAACAGAGGATTGTAGCGATTTATCGGAATTGGAATTGGATTGGATGGTTGATGGTGCCGGCTTCAATTTCTGCGAATCGTAGCGATAAATTGGAACGTGTAAACAATAACAGCGATTTATCGCTACGATTTGTGACTAATGTTGCGACGTGACCATTTTTGTATCAATTTGGGCTACTTGGACTGTCTCTAGCACACACGTTTTACATTTGGCGAGTGGCGATCAAGTTTGGCCACCCAAAAAAAAATATTTAGCGACACATGGCTACTCATAAGTCATAATCGAGATTAAGAGTCTATTGTAAGCAAGCAATGTAAGCAATAAAATGCGAGTATAATTTATATTAGTGGACAGAACCAAAAAACAAGTTGAAAAGTAAAAAAATAAAAACTGCATTAAACCGTGATCGACACTGAGATTGGAACAAGAAATCGTTACATGTAAACAGTACGCACTCTTTCAATTTATTGAACGATAAAACAATCAGATCGTTACGATTTATCGAAACCAAGATCGTAGCGTCTAAACCGCGCTTTACACTTTCCAATTTATCGCTACGATTCGCAGAAATTGAAGCCGGCCGCCATCAACCATCCAATCCAATTCCAATTCCAATAAATCGCTACAATCCTTTGTTCACACGCAACGATAAATCGTAACGATTCGATCGTTACGATAAATTGTTACAATTTATCGTAGCGTTTAAACCGCGCTTAAGTTATCGTTGTTTGACGTCGAACGATTTTCATATTTAATTCTGTTTCAACTGTCCGACGCAAGAAAAAGCGTCTATGGGGTAATGTTTTTTTTAGAGAATGTATGCTGCCTCTGCATCAGATACTATTTGTTTATCATTTTCCGGAATCAGAGTACCTACATAATCGAAGAGAAAAAAACTGATTTGAAGAAGATTTGTTCCTAAACTTATATTCAGATTTTCCGCTACTGCAGCCAAAACGTTGAATGTATTTTCGTTTTCCTGATGGTTTTGACGGACATTTTGAACGTTATTGCACTTGCAGTTCTTTAACTAATATATAAACAAGTATAAATTTAATATACCTACTAGTCCAGTCAAATTATCATAATACCTTGCATCAGATGTGTCATTTCTATTTTTTTTTCAAATTGTTAGGCTGAGTATGGATGTCAAAAATCCAAGTTTTCGACATCCAAAGACCTGTGCGAGCAACGCAGCACTCGCATTATTTTTAGGTTTTGGTTAGTTTTAGTTCTCAAGGACAGATTTTAAAGCAATTACTGTCCTATACTTTTTTAAACTAGGTAGACAAAATTTGTGACAATTCAAGCCCTTAACTGGCTCTGTAAGTCTAATAGTTTTGGAGATACAATGTTTCAAAAATTCGTAAATTCTTCAGTTTTAATCAAATTTGCCTTTTTTCGCATAAAAACCTCATGAACATTTTTATAATTTTGTTCGTTTGGGGGGTCTTTGTGGTGAGGAGTCTCCATAAATCGGCACAGAAAGAGCTAGAATGTTGATATCCTCTGGATCCCCAGCATCTCCCATGATAAGAAAGTTGTCATCTTCTTCTTCAGCAAGATCATGCTGTTGCATGGATTGCGAAATCTGTGAATTTTTTCCTTTTGCCTGACCTTGCTCGACAAGGGACACCGATTATAGAAGATCTGTGACAGTAGCAGAAAGCTTACTCACAACACTATGGTTTGAATGAATAACGCATCATATATAAACATGGATATTTTTCCACAAAGACAAAAATCAATATTTAATTTGCTTTCATTATCCGCAATTTTTAGCACTTTTTCAACAACAAGTTTATTACAACTCACGACTTACGACAATTCATCGTGCATATTTGGTAAGTTTAGTTTCTGCGAAGAAAAAACGCAAATTTTGATAAAACTTGTAAAACTAATAAATTTACCAATAGTTGAAGCGTCGTATCTCGGGAACTATTAGACTTGCGGAGATCATTAAGGGCTTAAATTGTCAGAAATTTTGTCTAGCTCAAAAAAGTATACGAGAATAATTGCATTAAAATCGGTTCTTCAGGAGTAAAACTTACAAAAACCAAAAAATGGTAAGAAAAATGACATATTTTCAAGTGATGTGTCGCTCGCACAGGTCTTCCAATGTCGAAAAGTTGGATTTTTCACATCCATATTGGTCCTAATAATTTAAAAGAAAAATTAGAGATAACATATCTGATGCACGGAATGCTCATTTTTGGTCTAATTTGACTGTACTATACGTCAAAGGCAAATAATGAAACGTGATCGCTGTTTTTTTAGGCAATTCCAAGGCATATTTGATTTATTGTAAATTGAACCTTTTTATTTTGTCGATTTCTACGGTTTTGAAAAACGGAAAATTATAAGTAATAGTATGAACAGATGCAGTATTTTATTCTCTAAAGAAAACGTATTTAGACTTTTGCTCTAAAATAATTAGGGGACCTAGTAATTGACTATAAAGAAATTAGCTAGGCACCACCCGGTATTTTAGTGGAAAATTACACATTATCCACCAGTGGATAATATTTTGACTCACTTAAATAAATAACAACAATTCCACGGAAACCTAGTCTTAAGTGCCTTCAATTTGATTCATGTAATGAATTTATAATTCTACATAACTATACAGGGTCATTCTTGACGAGCGTCAGTTAGAAAGATATGGAAAACCTTTGAAAATTAAGCTGAACTGATAAGCCCTTTAAGGGTTTTGGCACATGATGAATTGAACTAAAATATTTTCAAAATGGCGCCACTTCCGGAAATACCGGAAGTAGCCATCAACTTTGTTGTTTTAAATAGGGGCCCCCTATTTTTTCTACATTTTCGGATTCTACCTCGAATTTGGAGTACAACGATACCCCATAGTTGACCCTTTGCTCCAAGGGCTTCGCCGATATTCAAGTTTTTATGTCAAAAATTGAATTTGCAGGGGTAATTTTAAAAATTTATTATTCGAAAACGGTGAGAGATATTGCAAAACAGTTTTCAATGCTTTATTAAGGAAAGATCAAATTTTCTTATGGTATGCGTAACCGTCTAAAAAAGTGAGACTACGTCACTTTTCAAAGCTCTCAACTTTTAAACTTTTAAACATCCGTAACTCCATTTTTTCAAATGGCACCCCCCATTTTGTTCTTCACCCTTGTTTTCCTTTTTCCCAGACCTTTAATTTGATGCAAAATTTCAAAAGCTGCTTCAAACGGTTTCCGAGATATTCCATGTTTTAGTTACTTCTTGTGGAAATTTGATAAAAAAATTAAATCTCTTGATGTTATTCTTTTGTTTTTATTATGATAATGTTTAAACGTCAAATTTTCGCTGCTTTTCCTGGCAGCTATTCGATTACATTCACCGTGTATTAATATTAAATTCAAAAAATCTTCATTAGTGTAACCCAAACGAGCCATTATTGACGAGAAGTATAAGTTCAAGCAGCAAAAATTTGACGTTTAAACATTATCATAATAAAAACAAAAGAATAACATCAAGCGATTTCATTTTTTTATCAAATTTCCACAAGAAGTAACTAAAACGTAGAATATCTCGGAAACCGTTTGAAGCAGCTTTTGAAATTTTGCATCAAATTAAAGGTCTGGGAAAAAGGAAAACAAGGGTGAAGAACAAAATGGGGGGTACCATTTGAAAAAATGGAGTTACGGATATTTAAAAGTTTAAAAGTTGAGAGCTTTGAAAAAGTGACGTAGTCTCACTTTTTTAGACGGTTACGCATACCATAAGAAAATTCGATTTTTCCTTAATAAAGCATTTAAAATCGTTTTGCAATATCTCTCACCGTTTTCGAATAATAAATTTTTAAAGTTACCCCTGCAAATTCAATTTTTGACACAAAAACTTGAATATCGGCGAAGCCCTTGGAGCAAAGAGTCAACTATGGCGTATCGTTGTACTCCAAATTCGACGTAGAATCCGAAAATGTAGAAAAAATAGGGGGTCCCTATTTAAAATAACAAAGTTGATGGCTACTTCCGGTATTTCCGGAAGTGGTGCCATTTTGAAAATATTTTAGTTCAATTCATCATGTGCCAAAACCCTTAAAGGGCTTATCAGTTCAGCTTAATTTTCAAAGGTTTTCCATATCTTTCTAACTGACCCTCGTCAAGAATTACCCTGTATAAAAACATACTAACCCATTGAGCGGTTTTGAATAAAATGTTGTATTTGGCTTGTGTGCCATTCGTTCTTTATCCACTTTAGAAATTATTTGTCATTGATTAAATTCAGTATTTCAAAAAACACGCTACCTATTTGCAGAAAAACAGCTAATTTATTTCGCAATTTTGAGAGTACTATCATATGAATTGCAATAAAATGTTTAGTGACCGTGCATTAAGTGACTTACTAAAGTCTTACCTTTTGGTTTGAAAACATTTAATAAACCGTTACTGTGAATGCAACAGAATCAGAAGGCAGATTTTAAGACTGAGACTAAGTACTCAATTGTCATTTTGGGATCTGATGGTAGCTCATATGAAATCATTTTTACAATCTTTGTTATAAGGTGAGATTAACCGAATTTGACGTAAGGATTTATTTTTTTTTGCTGTTTGTAAAGTTTCATTATTCAGAAAAAAGGTGATTCTCAGGTCTACAAATTGCAAATTTGATAAAGAATCCACCCGCGAAATTTCATCGTAATCGGTCCATCCCTTCTCTTTTAAATCGATGGACATGAAGCTATTTAGAGAGCGAACGGACGGACGGACGAGCGAGGGAGCAATCGGAAGATTGGCAAAAAGCATAAACGTTACGCTTAACAACTCGACGCGAAATCGAGCAGGAAAATACCATGTCACATGTCTACAATGTATATAGATAGATACATAAAATTTGGAATTGTTTATGAAACCTTCACAATGTTACAGCTGCTCTTATATATGCTAAAGTCAGCTTTTTGAAATTATACTGAAAGTTGTAATGGACACCACACCGCTCCAATTGTTCAAACTGTTTAAAGATATATTGATATTGAACTATGAATAAATATATTGCTTTTCAACGTATTTCTCCGGCAGATTTTTATATTTGTTTATTTATGCATTGTAGGTAAATCTAAGTTCATACGTCAGTTTAGAACTACTTCTTATACTTTGTTATTGTCAATAACCGTTTATGTATCAGATACATTTTGGAAGTGAATGATTTTGTTCCCCATAATTATAAATTCCAATTCGGTTACGATTTTACGAGCGATGCTCATGAATTACAGATACATTTATTATCCTATACTGCGGTGGCTGCAATTTCCCAAAAACGCATTAGCATGTCAATTCTACGCAATCACTAAATACCTACATCCTTTTCCTAATTTTCGTTTTCTAATTTTAGAGACGAGCTGTGTTTATTTGAATTGGAAACCAACACTTAAAGCTCCTTAATATGGCTGGACAGTATGGTAAATTGGTAAATAAACAATTCAATTCGCCGATTAATCTTTATTCTGAAAATAATATACGAGAGGTTCTGGACCGAGAGGCACAAATGTTATCGAATGGAGCAGTTGGGTACGTATTACCATTTTATTAATCAGGCTTATTGATCAAACTATTGTACAAATGTAACCCGAAAAAAAAATCATTCGCACTTGTACCAGAAAGTTGTCCTTGTATATTCAGGGTGTTCCAATCTTGTTAAAATTCTAAAATACAAAGTTCTGTACTACCTACGTTGTCCAGAGTAACTGCAAATTGCACACCTCTTATGTGTTTATTCTTCGGACTGGACTTTTAAATAATCACCGATTGGGATTTCTAATTTTAATTCAAATTATGAAGAACACGAGCAACTGGCAATACAACGTAGGGCACCGTTACCAATCTATTAAAGTACACCTATCATATATTACTTTTTTTAAATATAATTTAGTTAATTTATCGTCTGAACCATGGCCAAAACGTCAAAAAAGAATGATATCAAACATCCCTTTTGCTACAGTGAGGGCCTACATGTCACAGCTCTAGGTATACCAACTTTCGTGGTCGATCAATTTCTTGTTTGCATTGAAAATAAATTTGTTTACCAAACATTGATTAGCGTAGCATTGTTGATCTTAATGTGCCACACGTAAACTCAAAAATAGAAGCTTCAGGGAGGATTAATTTCGATCTAGATCGTTGTAACCGAATTAAGAGTAGGTACTAAACACGTTTGTGCAATTTAATTTATGTCCTGTAATACTGCACATTGCATTGCATATTAATATGGCTGTTTGGCTTTGTATCAAATCGTTTACGTAATTTTTTATTTATATAAATGCTTTAATAAAGTAATCGCTTATATAATTGATCAAAATGTATGTTACTTATTTGCAAGTATTAATAGTTTGAATGCCGTTGCTCCGAAATTCAGTTTTTATAATAAAATGAATATGGACTGAGCTTTTTGATAAATCTTTCAGTTCTACAATGGTTCTATGGATCTTGCAAAATCTGTTCTACTCTGTAGGCAGCGCATATTAACCATAGCAGTGGCGCAACCAAGGGGGAGGGAGGATCAAGGAGGCACTGTTATACGGTTAGGTATTCAAGCGAATGACGACCTTATCGAACATTTACAAACTTGTGCGAAAAATGCACCTTACATCAGTTGGAAGGTTCAAAATGAAATAATAGCATATAGCACATAAAGTTAGAAATGCAAAGCTTTTCGAATTCTATGCTTTTAGTATCTTATAGACAGTAAACGAAACTTCTGACGTATCGACAACTGGGCAATTCTCTCTCTACTTACGTTACCTGAAACGAGACCCCGAAGGGTGGCACTATGCAATATGTGAGAAGTTTATCGAGTTTGTTATTGTTACCATTGAGTATCCTTCACTCAACGCTGTTACAAATACAATGCGATCAAAAATGATTGGCTGTCTAGTCGCCTTTGGAATTTTTGGTTACATGGGAAATCGTATCTAACGTGTGACGTCACTTGACCTATTCGCATACGATGCCTATTTGTTTTATTTCAGTTCGAAACCCTTTAAAGCTCTCTGAAAATGTTAGAATCCTTAAACTTTATGAAACGGCCGGAAATTTTCTGACATTAGCTTTTTGATTTTTTTCAAAACTGTATATTGAAAACTTTCTGAAACTTTCTAAAATTCCACAAGATTTGTTCAATTGAAATGCTATGATACTTTCTGGAACATCATCTTCCGAAATTACATGAAATTCTCTGATACCTATACTCTGTCAAGTTTTCTAAAATTCTTCATAACTCGACGAAACTAATATTTGAAATGTTTGAAACTTTTTGTTGCTTATAAATGATCTCAGTATGCATTTTAAATGTGTTGGAAACTTTATTGTCAACCACTGTTAGTGCTTATACAGGGTGATTCGGGAGGAAATGGAAATATTTTACAGACATGTCCAGGAAGCAAAAATAAACAAAATAAGCTCATATGTTCAAGTCCGATTTTCATTTGTTTCAGAGATATTTTGATCAATGGTAATTTATAAAATAAGGAAAAATGGATTATTGAACTTACAAACAAAAAAATCAGTAAGTAGCATTAATTCACGTTAAAAAAAACAACTACAATTATAACATTAATTATGGCATTATTATTATGAGGTTCCTATACGGCAATGAGTAAATTGGCCATACTTGGGTAGATTTAACATAAATGGAACACATAAAAGGGCAACCTTTTGGATCACAATCACAATACTCGTGGATGTCGTGATTAAGCTTTAAATCACGGCAAACTGATTTGTGAGAGATTTGTGCTAAAATCGAACTATTAATCATCAACCCATGACCATATATCACACTTCTTGGTCGAAAAATCTTGCCTAATTATAATGCTACGAGTAAAAAATGTAGGTTATCGTGATTGGCAGATTTATTTTTGGGCACTATCCAAATGAAACTTCGGATAATTAGAGGCGAAAAAAGTTTTAAAAAAGCGCAAATGACTGAAATAATGCTAAGAGCCAAACGAACTTAATTTTAAACTTCATGATTCAGATATTCGCGCAAGTGCATTGAAGTGAAGACCAATCATCAAACTCTCACCTTACTATTTATATGTTTAGTTTAAAAAATTGATGTACGACGATTGAACGACAACGTTACGAGCCGATCATTTTTAAAGCCACCCCTTAAAATCGTAAAAGATGCGCGTGTTTGAAAGTGAAAGGTTTACAATTATAATATTTGAGTAGTTCGAGTTAATTAATTTGTTTTGTAATTGCAGAATAAACTTCCACAACCCCGGGGTTAATAAACCAGCAAGTCTTCAGAATTCTGCAGTTTTGAGATTTCTCGAGGAAGAGGAATCAAGAAATAGGGGTGGCTCGCCAAGTAAGTACCTAACTTTAAAAATATTTTAAATATCCTAGCAAATAGGTAATAATAAACGTCCTTCCAATATTATTCTTAGTTTTGTGAGTCACATAACACTGATCCAGGTGGAAACGGTATTTATATTTTTCAAGATCGCGTTTTTGTCACTCACTTGCGTGAATTCGTTCGTTTTTCTGTATTGTTACCGGCAATACTTTGAAAAACAAAGGGCGCTTGCGCACGTTTGTGTGGTCAGTGAGCACATTTTTGAAGAAAATGTACCACCAGTTGGATTTTTAAATGTGCGTGTAATTGTGCTTAGATGTAGGTAAAATGCTTATAGATATTAACACAAATTGGTACACGCGTAAAAATTAGATACGTAGGATATGCGTGCGGTTAATTTGGCACTTGTTAACATGAATTTGCTTTCTTTATTTTTACTAATTCTTTATGCCAAACGGCATTATAAATAGAACCGCATTTCTCCTAATTGTTCAATTGAAACATAAATTTGTGTAACAACATTTTATTGTACCTAAGTAAATTTTACGATTTACATTTCAATTTCGTAACATGGCAGGTACTATTTTATGTGGTTGTTTTTGGTTTTAAGTTGATTATATTTTTCAAATCATTTTTCTTTGCAGATGCATTGCATTGTGTGTGGTCTTCCATAATTTTGATAAAAACGGAGCTGCCATAATAGAATTATAGTAAAATGCAACCTGTAGATTTTTGTCTAATCAATTAGAAATTTGCTAGTGACTAATGGTGATGCAGCTTCTTTATATAGGTACCACTGGCAAACGATCAAACTTTGAAAATTATTACATGATAAACTTACTTATTAATACAATTACTCGCTACTATTTAATAATGTTGCATATAGTGCGTTGATCAGCATCAACAGAAAAGGTATGGTTGCTTAAGTCATTTTATTATAGATAATATTCAAATTTGTGTGTTGCGTTGATTTTTTTGTCATTTTTATGATGTATAAATAACTTCATTCATTTTGTAACATTCCTATTGTCGCTCTTTTGTAGAGTAGGTACATACCTATCATCAAGCATAGAAATAGAAAAGTACAAAACATGATTATGTTAACTAAACCTCAAAGCACATAAACAAGTAGAGGTAGCCAACCAAAACAATAATTTTAGCACGATATATGTGTTCATTTTGTACCCCAGATTCACCCACATGTTTCACAATAGGTAACCTTGCTGATGACGTAGATGCTAGCTCATAGAATCACATCGGATGAATTAAAGTCGGTGTATATTATATAGGTATCCTTGAATTTATAACTATCAATTCAATGATTAAAGATAACTAGATTAAGAAAAACGCTGATTCAGATGAACACTGCTGATATATCTTTATCGCAACATGTGGATAGTTTATGTTGAACAAATTGTATTGGGTGCTCATAAAGAGATCAAAAGTTTCTACAAAAATTGAAAAGTTGTCCACTCTTTTCCAGTATTCCACTAGATTCAGCATAATGCAAAAACGTCAATCATAAGAAAACACCTCCAGTACCTTTCCTCAGTTTGGAAATGGGAACATTCTTCAAAAGTTTTCGCGTTAAAGAAAATGTCATGTTCGAATCAAAAACCAAACGTGTATAGTTTTGTTTGCGAAAGGAACCTCGTACCGAAGTAAAGTGAGAATATGCAAGTTCGGAAGTTCGTTTCTAAGTAAAGTTTAATCATTTGTTTGAAAACTCCATGGAGCTACTACTATTCGTTTTGGTTTTGTTCTCTTTAATTTTCTCTTTGGTTTGATCTTCTCTTCATCTTTTTAGGAACTTTTCTGCTTCCTTGTCGTCAACGTATTCTTTCCACTTACGCCATAAAGTTTGTTTTTTTTTCTTTTGAAATGTATCTGATGCCTCAGGCCATTGCAGATGTTTGGACAAAGCGCATCAGCTGTAGTTTTTCGCAGCAGCTTTTTGAATTAACGGTTGGCGTGTCTTCACATTTCGTTCCGGGTTTTACTAGTAGCAAAGAGTAACTAGTAGGTACATCACTAAGGACAATTACTTACTTTTTCATTTCTTCGCAATAAGTTACCACAGTAAATCTCATTCCCTTCACTAACGGACGTATCTTTTAAGTCTGCAAGAATGAAACATGAATTAGCTACCTAGGTACGAGTACAGGTTTTGTAGGCTGTAGGAACAAACAGATACATTGTTGAAATCGCATTCAACCCATATTTTACTATCAAAGATATTTTTGAAGTAATATTTCTTTCCGCACCGCCGATTTCTAAAAAAAAATGGGTTATCGGCTATGGATTATGGGAATTGAGTGTTTACCTTCAGCTTTATCAATTCCATTGACTTCATCTGAAACTCCGTTTTCGCATGAATCGATGATTGAAATCGAATCGAAATGCGCTAAAAAGCCTTCCAAAATCAGCAATACTGACTTGATGCTGGACGAGAATGATTTAAATATTGATCGCTCTTTCACAGGGTGTTTTAAAACTAATGGTTAATTCTACATCGATCAATTATTACATTCCCTATACCTACCTATCTGTTATGCTTTCCGTTTTGTTTAAGATGTTCTAAAATTGTGATAGTTGTATGTATAATTTTCTTAGGAGACTTTGAAGTAAACGCGTTAGTAGATGCCCTTGTACCATGCTTGGAAACATTACCTGGGGAAAACTGCTGGTTTCAACTTGACGGAGCGCCGGCTCATTCTACCCATGAAGCTTCTATAGTCTTTTAACATTTTTGAAGACAGGTGGATTAAGTCTAGAGATCCGCGCTATTCGTCTTCTAGATCTCCAGACTCCAGATACAACGCCACTGGACTTTTATGTGTAGACTCTTATAAAAAACAAAGTTGGGTGAGAAGAGTTTTTGATGAAATGGAGTAGGAATTCGAAGACGACTACCAACGGAGTTAATCAATTGATTTTTGTTTTTTATTTTGTTGTTTGTTATCATGACCTGTTTCTGTTTTTGATTTCATCCTTAGGTATTTACCTTTGTATTCATTAAAATAAATATGATTTTTTCATATTTAGTGATATAAAGTACCATGAACAACGAATGATAACAATTATAACCATAAAAAGATTTGTCTGACAGATATGCTAACACGTTTATTTCAAGGCCTCCTAAGAAAATTATACATATAACTATCACAATTTTCGAAAATCTAAAATAAAACGGGAAGCATAACAGATAGGTAGGTACAGGGAATGTACTAATTGAACGAAGCAGAATTTTTTTCGACATTTGAAAGTGCAAAAAAATTAAGCAGGTTTCATTTGAATAAATCAACTTTTTAAGGTTTGAAGTAGGTAATCAAACTTGACCACTAATTTTAAAACCCCCTGTACAAGGACGATCAAAATTTAAATCATTCGCATCTAGCACCACGTCAGTATTGTTGATTTTAGAAGACTTTTTGAAATTCAAGTCAACGGAGTCACGGGTACAGCGTTCAAAAGAAAGGCAGTAAATATTTTGAAAAATCTTGAATATGTACCTTGAAAATCTTTGTAGCTGAGTATAACGAAATGTGGTATCAAACGACGTAGATTTTCATGTAGATTCCGAAAATACAATAAAATATATTTAAAATACGAAAGTTACTATCCACATCCGGTAACACCGGAAGTGAAACGATCATGATAATATTTTCTTTCGATAGAACATGAAAAACTATGTTAGTATGCAAATTTTCAGATTTCAATTATTAATTAATTTGGATATTTTTAGGTAACGGTTTGTGTGAAACAGCCTGTATACAGTGCTCGGGAATTCATGATTAAGTTCGCAATTTTGAATATCCAAAAACTTAATTTTGTAGCCCTCTCTTTTCTCTTTAAGAGTGAATTGTATTCTGGAAAATTTGAAACAAATGAGTAAACGTTTCGACCAAGGTTCTTAAAAAATCCCAACGCCTTCTTCACATTGCAATTTCCATATCATTTAGTATAAAAACGGAAAAAATTATCTTCATAATCGACGCCATGATGAGCAATATAAAACATCTACCTAAAATAGATACATTTGCAAAACTCTCATTTATCCTTGCCGTAATAGTTTCGACCTTTTTGATATTGATACAATTTGGTTACACACTTATTAAATTAGGTATGTCACTTATAAATAATATGTAGGTAATGTATTGCATTTCGTTTCTTTACAGATTTGAAACGAGTGGCTTGGCCTCCACCACCCGATCGTGACGGACATTTTGAAGAAGTATCTGCTCAGGATTTGGTAAGTTTGTTCGCTTGGTCGTATTTATGGGCCAACAAGTAATTTGGTAACTATAAAAAGTGCATGTGATAAATGTCGTTATACGTTATACTTACAACACGTTAGTAGTTAAGTATATGTAATGTAATTAATCATGCAAGAAAGAAAACTACATATATATTTAAAAGAATTAAGAGGAAAATGGGGCAACTTGCCAGTAATATTAAACATATTGGCCTGATAGAATTTGAGGCATTGGGCCAATGGACATTTTTTTTTGTTTTGCACCTATTGTATTTCAGTAAATATCTAAGAGTATATTACTGAAGTATGATAACTATGAAACTGAGTAATATTTTTTGTTTAATAGGGTAGGCCACAAATAACCTCGCCTGGCTTACAGAACAATCAGGTCCAAACTGCTAATTATCATCCACCGAGTCCTAATCAACAAGGAACTCAATTTAATTATCAACAACGTCCCGAGCTTGCTAACCAATACCGACCTGTTTCATTTAATAAACCAATACACGTTGCTCCCCTATCACCATCCCACGCTCCCTCCTCGCCCAAATTACATTTAAGTCCCTCTCATTACAGTCCCGTGCAACCCACAAAAACGTGGGCACCTGTTCAATCGCCCGTGAGTTCAAAACCCCAACCAATTTTCCGTTCGGCGTCTCCTCAATACGAAACTCAAGCATATTATCAACCACCTGCACAAGAATACCATTCTTATCCTGATCATTCCCTGCAATCTCCTCAATACCAATATTCTCCTAATCGTCAGTTTGAAGCGACAACTGTTCAACCTCAGGTAGCGTACCCATATAACTAATTTCTTGGGATGTGTTAACATAAATGTATAAATGCATCCAATGGGTAATTTAAATGCACGGATTATAAATTGGATACTTTATTTAGCAGCAGCATCACTACCAACAACCCGCTACGTTACCAAGATATCACCAAACAATTCCAAAGGTAGAACCGCCACCATCCACCATCACGCTAAGACCGCAAGCACCAGTTAGCCAAATTCCTGCACCAGTTTATACGTCTCAACCAGCCACGGCAACTTTACAAGGTACCTATATACCTACTCTCCCATTCCATTCCACTACATGAAATTCTGAAATATTTCAGGAGGAAAAAATCTGCGTGGTGACCTCAAGTGGCCACCACCAGAAACGAAAGCTCAAATGGAAGAAGAAAACAGAAAACGCATAGAATTAGCAAGAGGTCCGGTATGTCGACCAAGGAAAGTGGCAAGAGATTATAGGGATTTCTTTGCACAACACGCTCTCAACAGCACATATCCAAGATATAAAATACCACCTGGAACGCAATTTTACGTTCGCGAATAATTTCTACTGCATATGCACACACTGCAGATGTTAATTTAGGTGCCATATATGTTTTTCACAACTGAAAATATGCACAAACCCGACTAATAAATGGCAAATAAATTAACATACATTTTGTGTAGAACGAAGTGCCGTTTTGTGATAACGCTATTACGTTAATTTAAGAAATCTTTTGCAATCTTAATTACTAACTAATATACATATAAGACGTGTATGGTGTACAAATTGTGAATGTCATTTTATTCATCCTTGTTTTAAAATGTGCTTGTAGTGGCTTCCTAATCACAAACTCGATGTGCTTTATGATTTGTTGGCCGCTCATAACGAGGCGAATATTTTTCATTGAAAAACAGAATAAAAATGCACCTAGTAAATACTTATGTTAAAGGTTTTCTATAAATAAATGGTCATTGATTAAAAAATTTATTGGGGTTCCCTGCAATTGTTAAAAAAACAAAGGATAACATACATCGAAAAACGACTTATTTCATATAGACTCGTTAAAAGACTATCTTATAGATTGTGGCCTGTGGAATCGACTAAGGCCATATTGTTTAAGATTTAGATTGAATTACAGCAACAGTATAGGGGCCAAAAACCAATTGTTAAAAAGGCAAAGAGTGTGTAATTGTGTATAGTTCTGCCTGTGACATCCATAGAATCCATTGGCAGGGAACAACTTTTATCTCTTCAAAAAACTGATCAGAATTTCACGTAGGTATCGTGACCTGGATACACTTTGTATGAATTCAAAAATAAGTCTGTCCGTCTATCGAGTATACCATTTTTTAGGTATGTGCATTTTATCGTCGGAACCGACCTTAAAGTAATCGCACATGCGGCAAGAATTGTATACCACGTCTCTAGGAGTTCGTGTGTTCTACTGGTGGGAAAAATGTAAAATCTTTACAATTTAACATTGGTCATTTGGAGGTGCCATTTTTTTTTACAAAATTGGGAACAGTTCCATCTTCTACGTTTTATGACTACGGAGATAAAAATTAAAAAAACACAAAAGTAGACGTTAGAAACTGCAGTGCAGTGGGGAGGGAGTACGTTCTCCTCCTCCGATTATTTTTAGATGGATATCGGATACAAAAGCGTTTTGGAGACACCGAAAAACAGGTATACGCACACACTATACTTAACAATGGACTTAAAACACTCAATTGCATCAAGTAGACGTCCATTGGAATCAATAGCAACTCTGCTTTGCTTAACATTTTGTGTGTATTTATTTTTTCTTAAATTTATTTTTGCCTTTACCATTGAGCGGGCGATGTTTCAGCCAAGGCTGCTCTACCAACCCAACCCACTTTACATTTACAAATATTCCTGCTCGAACCCGGATTCGGGCCAGGGACCCTTAGTACCGCAGCCGAGCTTCAACTCAAGTACGCCACACGGGCCGGCAAATACATTAGTTTAATCAGTGTACCATTGATATTGTTTTTAATGTAATTTTACCTGAAACAGTCAAGAAAATCTAAATTTCAGGGCCATTTTGGCATTAGAAAGTTGATCTTTACCTGACTAGTACCAAAGAGTTATTCTTTGCTAGTACTGTAATATTTTTGCCTGACTCCCATTACAGTCCTAGTATATGCAAAATAACAATTAAATCGTTCATTGAATACGTTATTCCATCAACCATTGGATAAGTTATAATGCAGACGATGTGGATATTTTTAAAATATATTAATATACCTACACCAAGGATAATGGTTTTTTAATTACTAATAATTACCTAATGGAATATGTGTGGAAGTAATTATTCCTTTAGTTTTGCGCCAGTCATTAAAAGGTTTGTACGCCTTTTCGTACCTCTTTCTTGACTTTGTGGGGAGCGAATATTGCACTACGGGCGGCGGCCGCAGCTTCGGCTAAATTATAACAACGTCTCGCGTAGGTACTCATCTTCTTCACTGATACCTGCTTTTGTACCTAGTTATAAGGACTGTATAGTTGAAAAGTACAAAGCATAAACTGCAAATGCATTAAAAATGGCACTTGCGGCCAGTTGCACAAAAAAATAATCCAGGATTATTGTTTAATCCGGTATTACGACTTTTGATTGGCTGCATACTGCAGTATGCAGCCAATCAAATGTCAAAATTCTTGTTTAAACTCAGATTTGGCAAATAATCTAGGATTTTGATTATAATTCGCTTTCCTGCAACCGTCGTGATTGTTTTATTTTGAAATCTCTATGGAAACAATTAAATATAGTGATTTTAGCATGCGTGATTAGGTATCAAAATTTCACACATATGAATAATTTAATTTGGAAAAGTTATCTACATGTTGCGGTTTCAGGTAAAAAATTTTATACATATTACATCATGAAAGTGACTTGGTAACTATTAACAGTCATTTACTTAGGTTTCTACCCATTGTGAGGCGGAGACCTAGAGCATATAGACATATGACTGAGTATTGATATTGAATTGTATTGATGAGACCTCAGAGCTTAGTTAGCCTCGAGCATTGTATTGTTGAAACTATTAGAGCAATAAACTGAAAACATGTAGGTATATTGTATAATTATGACAGATGAACTAAATATTTTTTTATCGTATCATAGTTACAATAAATTGAATAGGTAACTATATTTATTTCAACATTCCCTCCTAAATCTTTAGTTTATCGTTAAAATGTCACCTAATTGATTCTCACTAGTAATGTGTTTCACTGATAAGACTTTCTCTTCAACTTTCTTTTTGAATTTAAATGTCCACCGATTTGTAATGGCTTTTCGGTTTTGTGGTAAATTAACCAAAATCCAAGTGTGGTTTTCTATCAGTAATTGCATTTCTTCCTTCATTGCCGGTTTCCAATATCTACTTTCTGGTGATTGAATTGCCTCTTGATAGGACTTTGGTTCATCCACTTCAGCAGTCATTGTTTCAATTAATCGTTTTGTGCAATGAAGATTTCTTCGATTTCTAAAGTTATATCTTGGTTGATCCTGTCCATCTTCTTCTTCCGATTCTCGCAATTCATTGTCATCAACATCAATATTTTCATGATTCTGTCCATCTTCTTCCGATTCTTGCAATTCATTCTCAGCATCAATATTTTCATTTTCTACCTGCTCTATTTCTTTTTCCCGAACAAATATGTTCTCTCCTGGATATTCTGCTACGTAATTTGGCTTCTCGTCAAGGTTAATGTCAAAGGTGATCATTTTTGATATGCTCTTCTCTTCATTAGAATGGTCCGTACAATTTACTGGTTCAAATACAACATCTCTACTACGAAGTATTTTCCTGGTAGAACTCAACCAAACACGAAAACCATCCATCTCATCAGAATAGCCAACAAAAATACCTTTTTGACATTTCTGGTCCCACTTCTTTCGTACTTGCTTTGGCTTATGTACAAAACATGTAGTACCAAAAACGTGCAGTTTGTTTAAATGTGTAGACTTGCCCGTGAATATTTCAAGAGGTGATTTACCATTTTCATTACTAGGCCCCGTTCTGTTCAGCAGATAAACAGCAGTGTTGACTGCTTCGGCCCACAATCCTTTAGGTAAATCTTTCGCCGCTAACATTGTTCTTGCAAGTTCGACTACAGTGCGATTAGAGCGTTCTGCACATCCATTCTGCTCGCTGGTATATGGATTTGAGACACTGAGGATTACTCCTTCAGATTTTAACAACGTTGTCACATCTTTGTTGTTAAATTCTCGTCCACCGTCGCAACGCAACATTTTTAGTGGTCTTCCGCACTGATTTTTCACAAAATTCAAGACTTCAGCAATTCCTTTTGTAGTTTCTGATTTTTCCTTAAGAAATTTGATCAATCGGAATTTTGAGTAATCGCATGTAAAGCAGATAAAATATCTCGATCCTCCATACGAAGTGATTTCCATAGGACCACATAAATCAACATTCATGACTTCACCTTCTCGTTGAGCACGTTGTTGTCGTACTTGAAAAACCTTACGATGCTGCTTACCTTTTACACATGCTTCACAAAAAAAATCTTGCTTGGTGTACTCGATTCCATTACGGTTTAACACTTTTTCAACTTGTACTCTGTTTTGATGTCCGAGCATTTCATGCCACTCTTGAATTGATTTCAATTTCGAAGTCACGTTTGTTTCTTTAGTATTACTTAATTGTAATAAACTATTCGCTGGTACTTTCACCTTCATTATCATTGTGAATAACTGACCAACTCGTCTACCCTTAGCTTTTGCTTTTTCATCACTGACGAAAAAGAACTCCTTTTGATTTGATTTGAACTCGTATCCTTTGTCTAAAGCTGCTGTCCTCGAGAATAGATTTCTACGAGCAGCTGGAACAAAGAGAACATTTAACATTCGAAAATCAAAAATTTTACCATCAACAAAAGTTTTAACTTCTACGACGCCTTTTCCCAACGCATCCATCGATGTCTTGTTTCCAATGTGGACCTTGACTGGTGTCTTAAATTGTTCAAAATATGAGAACCACTCGCCATGATATGTTAGATGATCAGTGGCCCCCGAATCAACAATCCAAAAATCTTCGTCATTTTCCGCATTCAAGACTTCCGTAATGAAAGCGTTTTCTCCAGATTCCTCGTTGTAAAACTTCTGTTTACGATTGGGACAATTTCGTTTTATGTGATTCTTGCCTCCGCAACCATAACAAGTAAACGTTTTCTTTGTAGTTACACCTTTTGTAGTATTCTTTTGTGAGTGATTTTCTCCTATATCGACCAGCTAGTAGTGCTCCTGTACTTTCTTCTGATGCCTCGCTTTGTAGATGTCTTTGTTTTCTTCGCGATTCTCTTCGGATGTTAGTACATTCACCAGGTTAGTAAACGTTTGTAGTGTTCGTCTGGATCTGGCCCACCATGCCTGCCGTAAGTTAGTACATTCATTATCTTTGGTAGCCTGTAAGTTATCATAATTATCTGGTAGTGTATCCAAAAGTTTTACTACTAAAGACATGTCATCTTGTTTCACATTCAGTGCATTCATTTTCAAGATAAGAGTTTCGAACTTTGAGATATGAGTTACCATATCATCTTTCTCATTCATTGTAAAACTAAAGAACTCCGCCTGTACTACATGAGCAGCTTGTTTGGTCTGTTGCTCAAATATACTATGAAGTTTAATCCACATCTGTCTTGCTGTATTGCATGTCACCAGTAATGCCATTATTTTGGGTTCCAATGCTTTCACCAATGCTTGACTAGCAACTCTGTCCGCTTTATCCCAAATCTTCAGGTCTCTATTATATTCTGCTTTCTGCTCGGCAGTAGCTTCCTCATTCAGAGCCTCTGGCATTCTGAGATCTCCATTACATATCTCGTAAGCATTTGTATACGCTCGCAAAACATTCCGAATGGCGAATTTCCATACAGTCCAGTTATCAGTTCCTCTCAATTTTTCTATACTTCCTTCTTGATGCTCCATAGTACCTACTTCAACCGTGTTAACCTTTAAAGCGAACCACGCTCTGCTACCATGTTGAAACTATTAGAGCAATAAACTGAAAACATGTATATTGTATAATTATGACAGATGAACTAAATATTTTTTTATCGTATCATAGTTACAATAAATTGAATAGGTAACTATATTTATTTCAACATGTATATGTCGAGTTTGTAAAGTATCTCTTACTAACTCGTGGTTAATAGATATCCTTACTCCTAATCTTTCGAATTCGTTGACTCCGTGTAGTATCAAAAATTACCAAACATAACCCCTCTCGCAAATGTCTCAAGCATTTATTTGCTTTTTTTGTAGAATTGAGGAACATTAATAAAATGTAACAATAAACACTTAATAATGGGTTAAAACATAAATCTTATCTTCAAATTACGAGCAAATTATCATTAATTTTATTTATATAACCTAAAAGCGAAAATCATGAATGATCTTAGAGACACTGGTTTCAAAAGCTATATACTCGATGAGGGCAGTCTTGAGGTTGGTTCAGTTCTTTATCATTTTATTATATTTAATCGCTTTCGTTTTAGTCTATATCCTTAAATGATTCACATAAAACCAAACTTCTCGATGGTAAGCCTGCATATGTCCGACGGGTTTAATTGTTATACCATTTGCAGGTGAACATCTCATAACAGAAGCGCCAAGGGTTATGATGTTCAGTTCTCTTAGCGATCGTAAAAAAGGCACGTTAGGAATTTTAACCGTTACCACATTTAAACTATCGTTTGTAAGCGCCAATGAGAAAGAGAACGAAATCATTGAGGAATTTTGTCAAAACAATTTATTATTAGGTCCGCACGAAGTTTGCTTAACTTCGATAGATACGATTTACCAGTTAGGTGAACGAACGAAGAAGAGGCTTGTTCCTGGACAAAATGTTTCAGGCAAGGTTAAGGAAATACTCGTTATATGTAAAGTAATGTTTTTACATTTTCGTTTTGCACTAATTTACCAATGAATTTTGTAGAATATGAGGGCCTTCGAGTTTAGTTTTAAATTTTCTGATAAAGATAGTGGTAAAAGTATTTTGAATGCCTTATTGCATCACAGTTGTCCGAAGAAACATCCACTTTTGTTTGCATATGAGTACAAGTAAGTTTTTTATGTAAATGTACAGATCTTAAAACACTTCTTATCAGAGAACCTTACTATCGTACTTTGAAAGACGTTAGAATGTTTCGTAACAAAGAAGATTGGAAGAGAGAGCTGCAACGAACAGGATGTAAGAATTGGAGAACATCTGATATTAACTTAAACTTCCATATGTCCCCTTTGCTTCCTCAAACAATTGTTGTACCTGTTTCTGTTACCGATAGTGCTCTTAATCAAGCTGTTGAACATTTTAGGAACAGATGTTGCCCAGTGTGGGTAAGTAACGATTTGCAAACTAACATAATCTGAGAATGTCATAAAATAGGTATGGGGAACGTCGGATGGAGTTGCTTTAGTTAGAATGTCCGATATCTTACCTACAATAACTGATAGAACTCAGGAAAATATAATGCTAGAGCATGTTCGTAAAAGTCATAGCGAAAAAAGACAGCCTTACATAATGGATCTTAGCAGAGAATGTCCATCGCCTAAGGAAATTCAAACTAGTTATCTTAAATTGCGAGAACTATGTATACCTGACAACATTCGTACCTTTAAAATGCAAGATTTTAAGTTTTATGGTTTATTGGATAATACAAAGTGGTTACTATATGGTTCGATTTGTTTAACGAAAGCATTAGAAGGAGCACAACAGTTATGTCGGCCCAACCCAGTTACAGTTGTGTTACAAGAAAACAATGGGCAAGACATGAACTGCATAATATCCTGCTTGATCCAAATTTATTTGGATCCTTATTGGAGGACTGTCAGTGGCTTCCAGACATTAATCCAGAAAGAATGGGTAGCTTTAGGTCATCCATTTACCTCGAGACACTGCCTTGTCGCATATCACGAAGCGGAACCTGCACCCCTCTTCTTATTGTTTTTAGACTGCGTATGGCAGCTAATCCAACAATTTCCAACAGCATTTCAATTTACTGAAACTTATTTAACAACACTGTGGGATTCGGCTCACATATCGATATTTGACACCTTTCTATTTAACTCAGAACATGATCGATATTTGGCCCAAACTGTAAGTATTTTCGCAATAGAGCTAACAAGATGTTTAAACTCCTCTCTAGGGTCAGACACCCCTTGTTTTGCGTAGTGTGTGGGACTGGAAAGAACAATTTATGGAAAAAGATATTGCTCTATTTTGTAATCCTTTGTATAACGACGCTTACACTCAACCAATAAAACCACACACAGCAGTTGCTTTTCTCGACATCTGGAACCAGTGTTACTCCCGATGGTTGCCCGATTTAGAAATACGAAATGGTGGAAAACCTCCCATGGATTTGTGCATTCGATTGATATCTTCCGATATTCACTTGTTAAGGCAAAAATTACTTAGTGGAGATGTAAATGGTACAACTGTGAATGGTAGTCAAGAAGAAAATTTGTCTCTACTCAAGAAAGTAAATAGTTTCTTTCCCTTTAGCCGTAACCACGGACAGATCGCTGGACTTTTACCAATTAATAACCCGCTATTATCTGGCGACACATTAGATACACAATCTATTCTCAATCACGCAGCTGCTAATGATTAACAAATAGTAATGGCAATGTGGATAAAAAATTGCTTTACAAAAAACCGGTGTCAAAATAATATTGTTAACTATATTAGCCACAATTGTTACTTGTTTTATTGTATAGGAATGGTCATTTGCCATTATTAGGCCGCTAAACTGATTTTTCAAATTGCAGCCCATATTTTTTTTATTATTGATATATCATCTATACTATTGTTGATTTTATTATTTATCAATAGATATTTAAGTTTATTTTCAATATGGCCAAATTAAACCTTAGATATAAGCATATTAGTGTACAATGACGTATAAATTAAGCGAATTTTACTTGTAAAATATTGACAATATTCTATAAGTTTATTACAATGAACCAAAAATTATAATTAATTTATTATACGTATGTAATTTATTTATTAATAAATTGAATCTTAATGTTTTCTTACTTTAGCCCCATTCACATTAAAGTATTTTAGCCTACCCATGGGGCATACAATTGCACAGATTTGTGTTAAAGTTACAACAGAAAATTGAAGGACTTGACATTTATCTGCAACTTCGGTGTATTAACGCAAATTGAAATAGGCACCTTTATTTTATACCAATTTTTAGAAACTTTGGTTCAAGAATTATCACATGAGCAAAGGTAAGAACCAAGATGGTTCTGCTGAATCCTTAATAACAACTGAACCAAAATGAAAATAGGTACCTAACGTTTTTAATACCTAATCTTATTTTCTTATGCATATGCTATGAAACTACAATTCTAATTACATAAGATCGATAATTATCGTTTTATCAATATGCGGCTAGAGGATAGGTACTTATCAATAATTCAACTAATTTATTGGAACAGTCTAATTTTTGGCACCAAAACGTTCAGAAATATCCTTATTTAAGTAATTATTTAGTGTTATGGAAGAGGCCCAGAATCAAGGTTTTGTGTATGTACAATTCACATAATACAATAGGTAATTTTGCTTAATAAAAAAAATAAAAACAGGAAGCACTAAGCAGTGATAAATTAACTGTTTTTTCTTATTTGTTAAGATATTTAAATGAAACGTTGTATGTAGGCACTTGAATAAAAGTAAACACTAATGCCGAATCGACAAATTTGTTTTGCGCATGCGCAGTCGGTTTTTTATTAAATGCACTACATACCTACATTACATCCAAAAACATTATTTTCTGCATTCAACATTAATGTTATACCATGTTATACTCCAGCTTTCTTTTTGTATGTGCGAATCGATTTTTTCCACTTTCCACGAAATTTGTCCAATAGGTATTCTTGTATGATTAGGGCATTGTGCGTGAGTACACCATCTTGTTGAAGCCTACAGTTTCCGACTTTTGTGTGCCGTGCATCGTTTTATTCGTATAATAAAAAATGCTACCTCAATATAGTTTCTACTTTTTCCACGAGCCATACAAAAAAATAAAGTTGATAACGATTTCTCCTAAATGAAACGTCTCAACGATGTCTTGCAAAACAATACCTAACTGGCAATGAGAAAATGTGTTTTTTTTGTATCTCTTAAAATAACATTTAAAAAAAATCGGCAAATTTATGGTCTCTAATTTGACCATTTTCATATCTTCTATATGGTTTCCGAAATCTCCATCTCCATCCTTATCTGGGACACAGTCTATATCTGCACTTCATCCAGAAGTTCTACTAACGACGGATTATCCGTACTTATTTATATTATTAACGTTAAGTGATCAATTAAAATGTTATCGTCTGCGACGGTCTGAAGGGCATTTAGGCATTAATGTAATACCTATTTAAGTTTAAATTTTATAACTTTTTTTTACTAAAATGATTTGTTAGGTCAGGTATACCATTTATAATAATGATCAAGAATTGTCTAGGAGGGGGCGCTCATCGATATTCGCTGATCAGTAGAAAAATCAATCATCCTATCTTCCCTTTACTGTACCACGACCTATCTATCGATGTATGGGCTACCCTTTCAACCCCATAAAATATATAGTGATTCACGAGAAAGGTCATCAGTGATATTTTTCAATTAATTATATAGGCAATACCTCTGTGGTAATACGATACAATGGTAATTAATAGCAATTTAAGTAAATGTTATAAGCTAAAGATGGAATGAAGATTTACGATGTTACGGTTTACGGGATAATAATACGTGACTACTAAACGTGTAAAAAATACAGAAAACGAGCTCCTGGGTATAGCCATAGCATGTGCAAAACCAAATTTTGAACCTGATGGTGTAAGTTTTGCTTTTATTTAAAGTGTATATATGTATGAAATTTCATTTAATTGCTTCCATAAATAAGAAAGTGGGCACTTACATATCATGCACAAAACTAAATTTGGAAACTGGCGCTACATTTGCTTTTATTCCAAGTGACTATGTACCTATCAAATTTCATTTAAATCCCTTCTTCAATAAGAAAGTTGGCACTGCGCATGCGTAAAACCAAATTTTGAAACTGACGTTAAATTTACTTTTATTCCAAGTGACTATGTATCAAATTTCATTTAAATACCTTTATAAATAAGAAAGTTTGCGATTCGGTTTATAAATGGTCGAGATGCGAAGAGGGCACTATGAATGCTGATCGATTGGGCTCAACTTTTGGAATTGCGTTTTATATGGCGAAAGCTATGCGCATATTGAATTTCATGCAATTCGGTTCATAACTAACGGAGATGTCAACCAGGGCCTTCTTTATTTTTTGGCCTACATTGCCAATTCACGAACTCCGATCTACAAATTTGATAAAAAATTCACCTGCAAAATTTCACCGTAATCGGTCCATTCGTTTATCTCCTTTATATCCTGCTAACGGACAGACGGACAGACACCGCAAAATTATAAGCTCGCTAGGAGCTCGTTAACAATGGGAGGGTCAATGATAATACACATGAAGTTAATTTTAACATGTTTGTACCAAACGGATGTGCAGAAATAACTACTTAAGAAATGGGGGGCGGGACATTTTGCCGAATGCCCACAACGCCGACACGATTTTTTTATGGTCCATATCGCCGACTAGGGACACTACGCCGACCGTGCCCACTTGGTGTTGACGTGGACACTATATAGGTGGGTGTAATGTCCGTCGGCGTAGTGTCCCTTGTCGGCGCCGGCGATATGGACCATCAAAATATCATGTCGGCGTTGTGGGCATTCGGCGAAGTGTCCTAGACCAAAAAAAAGCAATTAAGAATAAGAAGGTGTGGGCCAATTATTATCTTTAGCTCCCAACTCGAAAGAAATGAAAAGCAGCATAATGATTATTAAATGTATGGAACAAGAATTAGAATGTACCTAACTACATTTGGAAGTGATCATTGATTATTAAATTGTGTTTTTAATTTTTTAGTGCACTTTCACTTTCAAAATAAAAAAATGCACTTTTTCGCTCTTGATGTCTGTCTGTCTGAGTTACAAAAGCTCTGGAACTACACACTTACAGACTTGGTATTGGTGCCATTCGATCAGAAATTATTTCATGTTTGTATTCTCCTTAAGGCATGATGAAATGTCCATAAATAAGGGATATTAAAATTGAAAAAAACAAATTTGAAAGTACACTCTTCGCCCCTTGCTCACAAGCGGCTTAACGATTTTTTTTTTGTTACTATATATATCTTTCGTGCTGGATTTACTTTTAATTTACACAGAAAAAAAACTGAACTGAGTCCTTCAAAAAGAAGATAAAACACATTGATTATTCACAGTTCAAAAGGAAAATGTTCAGACGAGGGATGGACAACAGGGAGGAAATGACGATCAGTACCTATCGTAGATTTGGACATAAACGTTAGCAGAGCAAGTTTTTATTTTTTCTTTTTTAATTACATTCATAAAATTCATTTCAGTATCTATGCATGTAAATATCTACTGTTTACAAATATTGGTTATGCGGCGTTACGTAGACAAGGTTGGATTACCAATAAGTAACCTACGTATGCAGAAATTGTAACTTCCCGGTGCGCTGATTCGATAGTTGCGGTAGGAATCTGGAGCTGCATATGTGTGGGAGGGATAATAAAAGATTAACATGAGAGATGGCGCGTTAAAAATAAATTTATAAACGTTTTGTATCTACAAGTATAAAGTGCTGTAGTAGATGTACATTTAACATTTTAGTCAATACATATCCGTGTAAGACGTAGGTCGTTGTAGATTAGTAAGGTTCATCATGTTACGAGTGATTAGGAATGGTTTGAATAAGTTGCAAAAATTTAGTTATTCTACCGCCGCTATTCCTGAAGCAATACAAAAACCAGAAGTGCTATACTCAGGGGTAAGTTCAAAACGAGTAGGACAGTGAAATCTCATTCACTCCGTCCTCGCCTCTTTTTTGCGCTCTATTGTTTGTAATGTGTTAATGTTGTTCTCGATCGCGACCTTTCCGTAGTGTTCATTTGAACTTAAAATTCCATATTCAGATAGCGCACTGTAGCCTTTAGTACACTCCTATCTCTATTTACACTACCTATCTCTTAATGCAATTAGCAAGGACACTACATATGAAATTTTGATCCTATCATCATTCGTCTACGGGGTGTAATTTTAGAACAATTAATACGAAAATAAAGGTAAAACGTGCAATAAACACATCTCGCAACAAATTAAATTTCACTTTGCCCTTCAATTTTTTGCTCAAGTAATTTCAATTTTACTGATTATAATTTACATAGAGGATAGAGGTACTGTTTGCAATAATAATTAATCAGGTACCTACTACTGGCAAATTTTTTTCCTTTGGTTAAGTAACTTATTAAAAAATCATAAACTATTAAGATTGTGTAATAAGAAAAGATCGAATCATATGATAAAAATTCATTGTTACTTTCGAGCTCCTAGCGAGTTTATAATTTTGCGGTGCCTGTCCGTTAGCACGATATCTCGATAACGAATGGACCGATTACGATGAAATTTTTTAGGTGGATTCTTTGTCAAATTTGTAGATCGGAGTTCGCGAATTGGCAATATAGCCCAAAAAATAAGGAAGGCCCTTTTCTGTGAGTTATGAACCGAATTACATTAAATTCAATATGCGTATAGCTTTAGCCATATAAAACGCAATTCCAAAAGTTGAGCCTAATCGATCAACATTCACAGTGCCCTTTTCGCATCTCGACTATTTACAAACCGGATTGCAAACTTTCCTATTTATGAAAGCATTTTGGCGTCGCGTCGTCGTAATTATAGCAACTGGTAAGTTCCACGTACTGTCATGGAAACACACATGGTAAATATGTAGTCAGAAATGATCGATCGCCCAAAAAGGTTCTAATAGTACATTCATTATATATCAAGGTAGAGAAGTACAGTATTATTGCCTAAGCACCAAGATTACATCGCGAGGCACTTACGCCGAGGGGTGTAAGGTGCGAAGGCTATAATAGGCTTCTCTACCGTGGTATATATACTATTTTTTTCACTACTAGCACTTGAAGTCCTCTAAATTAACAGATTATATTGATAAGAAAGTGAACGGTTGTACAGAATTATTTGTTTCTTAATTTAACATGTCAATCAAGTACGTAGAAGTACAAGTCAAACAGGCCGTATTTTGTTCTGTCATTGAGATATTTTCAAAGAGTAATTTCGTTCGAATTTATTCAAAATGTGATAATTTTAGGTATGTAATTTCGCTGAAAATGGCGGATTGTGGCAATTATTCATTTTACAGAACTTGTCTAAACGTTTATTGAGCGAAATTTCGGGTTGTGTTTTCTAAAAGTGACAGCGTGACAGTTCTCATTATTGACTACTAGTTAATAATGTCCACATTATTAATAGTCTGGAAGCCAGACGAAAAAGCTGGAAGTAAGGTAGGGTGAAAATTTTTTTGCGGTTTTAGGTCACTAAATAGGTCTATTTTAAGAATCCGATTGATGCCACTCTGTCACCCTTGAGCATTTCGAGAAATTCAAGATGGCGCTCCAAAATGTCTACAAAAAATACAAAAATTAAATTTTTTAAAAATATGGGCATGTAGCACATCGATTTTAGGGTTTTTAAGCCTTCTGAATTTAAATTTTTAGTTAAAAATATGTTTGGGGGAGTTTTAGAGGAGTGGGGGATGTTTTTGAGGGGTTGGTTTTTCTATTTTTTGAATATTAATGTGTCGTACATCGATTTATATGTTTTTATGGATAAAGATCCCGAATTTCATATCAAAATGGAGGTACAGGAAGTTATTCAATGTTAAAAAAGTAGAACGACGCCGACAGACAGTCCGAAAATAACATAAAACGCGCGGTGCCCCGCGCCCGCGCTACACAACGACATAATTTTAATAAAAAGATTATAATTATAACAAGTGCGATACGTCTTTTTATAGGGTTTTTGGGGTGGAGATTACAATTTTGATGTCAAAATATGATTTTTGAATAAATTTAAATTCAGAAGGCTTAAAAACCCTAAAATCGATGTGCTACATGCCCATATTTTTAAAAAATTTAATTTTTGTATTTTTTGTAGACATTTTTGAGCGTCATCTTGAATTTCTCAAAATGCTCAAGGGTGACAGAGTGACATCAAACGGATTCTCAAAGTAGACATCCTTACGAACTAAAAACCGTCAAAAAACCTTCACCGTACCTCACTGCCAGGTTGCCAAAAATCCCAGTTTGGCATCCAGACTATAACCACTATGAACAAATGCCGAGAAAGCCTACTTTACAAGTGGAAAAAAGGTTAATAATCATGTAATCAGACGCTAGTAGTGAAAAAATATATTTTTTCTACAACTGTCAAAAAAACCTGTCATTTTCTGACGAATTTCGAAACGCGAAGTACTAGATTTTTAATCGGTTAATTAATAAGTAAGGTTGCTCTTGACAACGTGCGCGAAATCGTCAACAGTGAAAAAAAGTATTTCGCGCACGGGACAAAGTTGAACTTAAACAGCAATTTAATTAACAATCGGTTCAGTTGTAGAAAAAATATTGTATATAACGCTAGCGCGAAGTTATTTCGCGCATTTGACTGATATTTTAACTCGGCTTCGCCTCGTCAAAATACCTTCAGTCTCAATGCGCGAAATTGAACTTCGCGCTCTTGTTATATAAATAACTATTCGTACTTCCGAGACTAAAGTGACAACTTCACTCCATTATGACAAGTACTGAAGTATCACTTTTTGTCCCGCCGGGATTAAATTTGGACGAAAATCCCGGAAGGATGAAATTACTAACAAGGCAATTTCAGTAGGTTGTTCCACATTTTGTATGCTGCACTACTTCTTAAACGCATCGTACTGCTGCTCATATAGTTTTTTGGATTTCGGTGGTATCAATTCTTTACTTACTTTGGCTACTTTTTATCAATATCAAATACACCTTTGTCACCCACCACCAAAATTATGACACTAGCAATGACAGTTTCCAAATTATTTTTGTTACCATAGCATAGGGATTGTCGTACCAACGCAACGTCCCTATGGTAACTTGTTAAGCAGCGATTTTTTGAAAGAACGCGTTCTCTAACTCCATACATATTAAGTGTTTCAAGAATATTTAAACCATTCTTTCAGGAACAAAAACTCTTTTTAATCCCTTATTATTTAATATACTATTTTTTATGTCTTACTAACCTATCATAGCACATTTTATATCTGTGATACGCGGGCATAAAGTACCACTTTATGCCCTAGGGCATTAAGTATCACCATAGTAACTCATTTATACTTAATGACAAAACAAACAAATATTTGCAGGTCATTGAAAATTAGAAACGTCAATTATTAATATTGTCAATACCTACTAAATCACAAGATTGGCCTTATTTCGAATAGTTTCTGGAACTCCTTGCTCATTCACGATGAATTGAATTATTTAAAATTACGTTTGACGTTTGGATGGTTTCAATCACATTAACAAATTCGAACCACGCATACTCGATCAAACATAATGAATTATTTTGTAAACGAATTTTGACGAAGAAAACTATTTGTAAAACATAAAATTGTGTATGTACCGCACGAGCATAAACTGATGTTTATACTCTCGGGCAACTAAAAAGCTCTCGGGCCTAACCTCGTTTTTAACTCGTCGCCCTCGAGAATATAAACATAACTATTGTGCCCTTAATACATAAATAACCGAGTAAATAACTATTGTTTGTTCAGAATTTTTTCGGTCAGAACTTTATGACTAGAATAGGGATTTCCAATACCTACCTTTTATTCATCATTAAATGCGTCATGTTTCCTTTAAAATCTCATTGCAGCTTAACCATAGCGTCAGAATTATGCCTATTCGCCGAATGCAACCCAGTTCTAAGAAGAATACATATGCCATTAATTGAAGGTAACAATTTCTGAATAGCGGGTATTTCCCACTCCAGGTTGCCAATATAATCAGCAAGTGCGTGAAATTAAAAAAAAATTGTGAAATTCCAAATTCCAATAGGTATTAGCATCGAAAATTATGAAATAAATTGGAATTGGTAGATAGTATAAACAAACTGTAACTGTAAGAACGATAATCGACAATGCAAGTTTTGACGTGTGTGAACTCTTAATCTTAGGGTTAGGTATAGGTACTGTATTTCTTTTCATATTAGTTTTAAAAATTTCAAGTTATAATTTGATTTTTATAAGCATCTTAAAATTTATTGCATTGTAAAGATTATTTTGGGGCACATATTTTTTGGTGTGCCTAGGGGCGCAAAAAATTAAATCCGCCACTGGACAGAACTGTCACGCTATTTAAACAGTGACAGCCCCAGATGCAGCTGTAACATGGATGGGAGTAATTTTACGGTATGGGTTAAGAATAGGACCTGGAGGAACTCACGTTATGCGCGATATACCATGGCGCGAACAGAGTGTTGTAGTGCTACTCAACGGGTGAACAATAGGACCTGGGGAATCTAGGCTATGATGGAGAAAAGTAAGTGTGAGAGTCCTACGCTATGGGTAGGACCAGGGAGCCTTCTTCGCTATGAGAAACAATTCGAGTGAATTTTTATGGTTATCGGATTTCATTCCTCCGACATCCGCGACTACAGCGATGTGCGGAGGTGGGTTGCTTTATTCTTAAATAACGTTCAATTTATTTTTAATTAAAACAGACAAAATAAGATCGTTGAGTGAAGGATCTAGGTAGAGTGGTAATGCCTATATGAAAAGCGGTCATCCTTTCCGATCTTTTACTAAGGTAGTCCCTTCTCTATTGCACATCGCGCCTCTGCCCCTCCGAGTCCACGTTTTGCAACACCGACAGCTAACGCCACCGACAATTTCGACGGCGCTTTCCTTCTTTACAATTTACAAGTATTCAGTATTTT